GTGGTCGCTGCCAAGCTCTACGACCCGCGTTCCCGTCAGCACAATGTGACGCGACCCAGCACCAAAGACGGTCTTGGTGGAGAGTTTGTGCACGACCTGATCCTCGAATCCAGGCAGCACCGAACCACGCAGTGCAGCGATCGACCAGTACGCCACGGGGTTCGCCTCGATGAGCACCACGCGGTGCGTGTCCGGCAACGACTTGGCCAGCGACTGCGCGGTTGTCAGGCCAGATGCTGCTGCGCCTACCACCACCACGTTCTGCAGTGAGCTACTCGACATCGTCCTAGGAATGCTGATTGACAGGGTATACAGTTGAGAGGTATGTGTGTGCAAGGGTATGTGTGTGGGCGGGGGCAAAGTGAACGTGGCGAAGAGGCAAGCTTTATACGGTCGAGCGTGATGTTGGATGTCGGTGCGTGTGTTGGTGCAGAAGCAATCATGAACGCGTTTCACGCTCCTTGGACCCTGTTCATGGCGCAAGCGTGGAATTCGACTTTGCTCGGAACCCATCTGCCGTAAGCGCCCTAAAATCCGATCCTCGACAGATCCCCGCCTTCCGCGGATGCCCTTCCTCTGCACTTGCCGCGGGATCGCTGGTCGACGAATCGTACCGACGGCCGCTCTTGCCAAGTCCGCACGTTGGCAGTTCGTGCGGAACCAAGTGCCTCTTGACACAGCTCTCGCTTCAAACCACTTACGCCCGGGCTGACAGCCGTCCCGAGTCACACGCTCTATCGTACAATCTCCGTTCAATGAGCTACGAGCTTCCTGCAATTGTCCTTCCAAATGTAACGGTGCCAAATGTGACTATGAAAAGTACAGTGTTCCGCGTGCTAGTGCGCCATGCCGACCTGGTACGCGCCGTCTGCGTTTGCCGTCGAGGTCGACGCTGGTGGACCGCTCGCATCGCGCACGGTAGCTTCGCTGTTATCGGCCGTCGATGGCGACCGGCTCATGCTCGTCGAGGCCACGGTCCTTTCGCCAGTCCTTGCGTTGGCCTGGTACGCAGGCGGGGGAGCCGAGCCGCCGTTCGAACCTGCTGGCGCCGATCCGTCTCGCGCATTCTGGTCTGCGCTGAGCGCAAGCCAGCGTCGCGACAGTTGCGTCGGATTGCGCGACATGGGCGGCGAACCAGTCGGCGAACTCTCGCCTCCGGGCCCCGCACGCGAAGGAGTCGCGCCATGACTCTGGCCAACCAGACCCGTCCTGCTCGTGAGCACCGGCAAGGGGAGTGCCGGCCGAGTGGGCGCTGCCTCTCTCTCCGGACTCGCACGCGCCGAGTCCGCATCCTCGGGCTCGGCAGGCAAGCTCCAGTAGTTGGGCAGCGCCGTCCATTCGCTCGCAGTGTGGCTGTGGTTGAGCGTGATGGGCGCCTCGATGATAATGTCGTACAGCTGCGGTGCTGGTTTTGCCGAAGAGCTCGAGTTGGCAGCACCATCGCTCCACACCTGCCATTCTCCTTGCGATCGACCGACGCGGATCGACAGCCGCACCAGATGGTGCACGGCGATGTTCGACTTGGAATGGTTGGTGCTCAGATTGATGCGCGTCGACGCACCCGCAGGAATGGGCAGCTCGGTCGCCAGCTCCCAAGGTCCGGTGGGATCCAAGATGGACGCCAGCGCGTCCGAATCCTCATCCTCGTTCGCAGCAGCACGTGCGAGCGGGGCCAGCGGGCTCTTGTCCAAGGCGTCTGCACTATCCGACACGACGGGCAGGATGGGCTCAGCGCTTGACGTGTGGCCAATCTTGAGTAACGTCCACTTTCGCGGCACCTCGTGCCTCGCCACGCGTCTTCCTTTGGCAAAGTAGTCGGTGCGCTCCTCGAGCGTGGCCAGGATCCGATAGATCTTGACCTTGCCCAGAGGCACAAACTTGAGCCACAGCGGGATCTTTTGGCCAACAGGGAAGCTCTTGCCGCTGAAGACGACCATGTAGGACAGCAGATCCTCCCAGCATCGCTCGACTACGATCGCGTCCGTCTCTTCGAGCGCGTCCTCGTCGGGCGCATGGATGAGCGTCACCTCGCGCTCGGCGACAAGGTTGGGCGTCAGCGCACCCGAGCGCACCACGTGCGCACGCAGGATGTATCGATTGAAGCCAAAGTCAGCGTGCAATGTGGGAGGCAAGTTGGACGGGAGCGAGATGCTGATCGGGTATGTATAGGTGCCCTTCTTGAACTCCTTGGAGTCCGACAGAGCTGGCTCTTCGTTTGGCGTCTTGGAATCGGCGGCGGGCTCCTTGAGCAAGCCGTTGATGAGGTTCTTGAGACCCGGCTTTTTGCCTTTGGCATCATGACCAGACTTGCTGCTCAACTTGCCCTTAAGGCTGTTCTTGTCTAGCTCCATCGAGCTTCTTCGGCTCGACGGATTGCTGCGTGTACCGCTGGACTTATTGTTGGATGCATTGCTGGCTGCTGCCGCCGCTGCATTGTCGACACGAGATTGCGGATCAAAGCGCACCGTCTGCTCCTTGGAGCGAGGTACACTTGGCGACTGGGTGTGGAGAATGCTCCTGCCCGGCGCTGCAGACGGAGGCGAAGCCGACTGCGCGGCTGCGGTGGGTTTGGACCGAGGCTGTGCTACCGCAGTCAGGGCGGCGTTGAGGCGCGCGAGCCCCTGAGCCGAATTGGCAGCGCTGCGGTCAAGAGGCGTTGTGCTGGTGCTCGGTGCGGCGCTCGAGGAGACGCTGCCAAGCAACGAGGTAGCTTGACTATCAGGGCCGGCGACCTGAGGTGCGGCCGCAGAAGCGTCCGAAGGCAACTCGGTAGGCCAGCTGTCGTAGCCCTGGAGTGGAGCCGATCGAGGCGCATAAAGCGGAGGACGCTCGTAGCCCTGCGACTCAAAGTAGTCGTGCCATCTGGACATGTCCTGCGGCGATGTTGCTGAGCCATTTGTGGGGGCCCCGCCTCGCGTCCAGGAACCCGAAAAGTTGGCCGTGGGAGACAAACGCGGCGAAGTGGATTCGAGATCGGGGCTGGTCTGCTCAGATGTCCACGAGGTGGTGCCAGAGCCGGTGCGGTGCAGCGGAGGACGGGCTGGAGGACGAAGGTGGGAGGGACTGGTGGGCGAGTCTCGAAGCTTCATGTGACTCAAGTCCGGGCGCAGCGTGGGCGGGATGATGGCGGAACCCGCCTTGGCCGCACCGAGGGCAATCTGGCGAGCGAGATTGGAGCTCGACTGGCCTTGACTGCCTGGGCTCCTAGAACCTTCTTCGTCTCTGCGGCCGGTAGTATTGATAGGGCGTGGCACACTGGCCGAAGGCTGTCTGGCGGATGTCCTTGCACTGGCGGCAGCTGCGGCGTAGTCCCAATCCACATCCTCCTGGAGACCGATGCCCGGGCCGACCGAGTTGCTTCTGGGACGAGCGCGTGGCACCGAGTCGTTGGCGTCCTTTGCATTGAAGAGGCTGATGCTGTGCTGAAAGATGGTCATCTCCTCGACCATCTCGACGCGGTTGGGGCCGATGCCCTCGGGCCAGTCGGTCCTGGCGGTGCCCTTGAGCGAGATGGAGATTTCCTTGATCTTGGATGGCTTGGGCAGATGGAGCGTGACGAGTGCGCGAAGCTGGGAGGGTGGCGCATCGAAGTCGACGGGTCGTCTGCGTCCGCGCGCATCTTCGCCCGACGACGACTGCCCGCGCAGGAAGATGACGGGCTCGAGTTGGGTGATGGTGACGCTGGCAGGAGGCGACATGGTGTGCGGCTGCTAGGACGTCGCTCTCGGATGGACCGAAGATGCGACGAGCACAGTATGAGCTTTGATGGGGGCGAGGGAATGTTCTGGGGCGAGACGCCACCGCTAGACCACGGTGAAGGCCATCGCTAATATCGATCCGCAGATGGACCGCGAGCGCGACGTTTATGAAAGCAAGAAGGAGCGAAACAGAGACTCGATGGGCGCCTGTTCGGCTCGTCGCCGACGAAAAGGGGATCTGGCTCCGCTTCTCTTGACCAGATGAGGTGATGGCGTGGGAGAAGGAAGCGCGGGCTGTAGGGACGGCCGAATGTGCTCGACGATGAATCATCGGCACGGCCGGACATGTCGACGATCCGCAGCTCGACTCGCCAAGCCTCACGAGGCGCTCCGCCCTTTTTTTTGCATGAGTCGACAACCGAGTTGCCCCACGGCACAAAATTCCTCTCCCACTCCACCTCTCCACTCCCCTTTCTTCCCTGCACGTTTCGTCTCCCTTTTTATCGACTGCATGGGGCGGCTTCGACCCTGCGCTGGACCCGCGCCTTACGATTCGGCCCCAATCGAGAAGCTCATCTCGTCTTGGCGTGCCAATGTCGCTTCGTACAAACGATGGCTGGCACACTGAGTTAAAGGATGTGCGTGCTCCTTTCAAGGCGACTACGCACGGCAGCAGAGTAACCGTGAAGTCCTTGACATGCAGCCAAGTGGAAGCGGAGTAGAATCGGCAAGAGCTGCACGCAGGCGGAGGGAATCTGGGACGTCTCGGCTCGGGCGGTTTTTTTAGAGCGTTCGGCCTGGCCGGTCGTTCCATGCTCTCTATTCCGCACATTGGCTCTGGAGCATATGGAGAGGGATGGCAGACGCATCCACATAGCACGCCACATGGCCTTATCCTGCCGGCCGGTGCCCGCCGCTTCTGCATCGCTTCCCCGGTCGCCGAACCTTTGTTCTAGGCAAATCACATCCGCTTCGACATCGAATTGGCCGCCAAATTGACCGATCCCCCAAACTGTGGTGATTGAAACGGCTGTTCTTGCCTCTGGCTGCCAGAGAGGTGAAGAGTATGAGGGCGGCTGACACCCTGCGATAAAGTAAAATGATGTTACGCCGACATGTTCTCCCCCTCAGAAAAAATTGGCAGACTCGCACGACTCCACATAGCTGCGGCCAGGCTGGCGGGATGATTGTGATTGCCGAGCGACGGCCGCTTCAGGGTCAGGCAGTGGATGGTGTTGCTTCTCGATCCAAGCTTGCCGTCATCCGCCGCCCCTCGTATCATCACGCGCATCGACTCACACAATGACCAACGATCCAAAGGCGCTCATAGCCGCCAAATTCCTCGACTCGTTTCTGCGCGAGATCGTGCTCGACACCGCTATTCACACGCACGCCAAGATCAAGCGCGCGCGGTCCATATGCAAGCTCTGCGGCGTACGCTGCCAGGCTCACACGCCGGCTGCTGAGCAGACGGCCACACTCTCGGCCGCTCCCGGCACTGCTGAGACCACCACTCCCACGTCGCGGTCTGGAACACCCGTGCCTGGTGCATCGTCGTCCAAGCCGGACTACTACTCGAACAATCCGCTGTTCGAGTGTCTGGTGTGCTCGCGGCAGGTGAGTTCGAATCGATATGCGACGCATCTTGCCAAGTGCATGGGCATGGGCTCCAAGGGAGGACGCAAGGGCGCCGCGCGAAATGCCAAGGCGACAACGAGCGCCACCATGTCCAGTCGCCAGAGCGGCGCGGCGACGCCCCGATACGGCAGCGATCTGGACGACGACAGCTTTGCCAAGCACAAGAACGGCAAGAATGGCACAAAGCGCGCCAACAGCCCGCTCGCAGCCAGCTCGGTCGCCAATGCCCGCATGAACAAACGCATCAAGACCAGCTCGCCCACCCCGCCCCCCACCGACAGCCTGGCGACAGCCACGGGCGGCTTGAATCGCTCGTATTCGTCGCAGACCTTTGCACCCTCGGGGCTGAGCAACTCGACTGTCCTCACCGGCTCGCCACTCAATCCGAACAATACCCCTTCCACTGCCAAACCGCTCTCGGCTTCCAAGTCCAACGGCGGGACACCCAAGCCTTTCAACGGCAAGGCGAGCGGAGCAAACAAGCGCAAACGTCTCATCGAGGATGAAGATGACGACGACGAAGACGATGATGACGGTGGTGGCTCATATGCAGCTGGTTCCGACGGGAGCGGTTCGGGAGCAGACACCAATGCGGCCGAGGAAGAGGGCGAGATTTCGGACGATGACGACGATGTTGCTCTGGCCGCGGGTGGGTCTGCGCGTCCCGCGAACGGCGCAGGGGGCAAGATCAAGCTCGGCTCGAGCTCGGCCAGCAAGCCACGCACATTTGCGATGGTGATTGATTCGGACGACGATTCGGACACGAGCCTGTCGCAGCAGCGCAAGTCACATGCCGTTTCGGACGACGACGAGGATGACGACGACGACGTGCAGGTGACGGGCGTGCACCGTGGCAGTGCGGCGGGACGCGCGGGCGTCAAGAAAAAGTCCACCCATGGCTCCAGCGGCCTGCAGAGAGAACGCGGGAGCGACGGCGAGTTCATCGACGTCGAGAGCGCGTCAGAACAGAGCGACGCCGATTCCTTCTGATCACACGCAATACCAACGAGAATGAACAATCCCGTACGAAAATAAGAGCAAAGAAACAGCGCAGTAAGAGTACAATGGGTGCCGAACAGAAGGGAAGCGAGTGTTCGGAGCTGGGGCAGAAAATGAGTGTGTCAGGGGGAGTGGAAGCGAAAGTGCGAGCAAGTACGTCGTCCCAAGCCGTGCGAGAACGCAAAGGGGGCGGTCCGATCGAGTGGCAAGTGCCTAAAGGAAGGTGGTGAGGAGCAGCACGGATGCAGCGACCATGGTGGTGATACCGAGGGCGGGCAGATTCATCATGCCGGGCGAGAGCATGCCGAGGCTGAGGAAGATGTTGCCGTACTTGCCGCTGCCGTTGGTGGAATTGAGTGGGACGAAACCGATCATCTTTGCCTTGTCTTCGCTCTCGAGGTCTTGGCAGCTGGGGATCTCGCATTCGTCCTGCGGAGACACGTCCTGCTGACGACGGTACCAGCACTGTGTGCCCTGGGCGAAGCCGCAGCACGTGTTGACGAACCCGTTGCCCCAGGATGCCTGCTGATTGACCGCGAGATGGTTGACCATCGAGCATGTGGATTCCGTGATGGTCGCATCGCCACCCGCGGGTGCCGAGCCAGAAGCGGTGGATTCGGGTGCAGAGGCAGTGGACGAGGCGGTAGTGTTGGCTGCCTGTCGTGCCTCGAGAAGAGCCCGCTCGGAAAGCAGCGGCGCATCATCGAGCGAACGTTCGAATGGCTGCGATACCGAGTCCGCCTGCAACTGCGCAGCCACCGCCGCCACGAGTACCAACAAAAGCGCCAACGAAGGCAGCATGAACCTCATCGTGGAGTGATCTTTCCTAGAAGGTCAACGCCAGGGCTGTATGGCGAACAGCAAAAAAACACGAGCGTGCGGGGGTGGGGGTTGAAAATGAAGCCGGGGTAATGAAGAGAGGTCCGAGCGTGTGCAGATCGAAGCGCGATGAGGTGGATCGCAACGACTTTGATGGCGAAGTGTGTTGGTGTGCGAGGGCACGAGCGAGGTGAGTAAGAAGAAGAGAGAGATGGTGGCAGCGGGATGTCAAAAAGCCGTTGGTTGGAAAAGCGGGTTGGCGGAGGTGGAAATGGCAGAGTGGCAGCGAGGCAGCGAGGCAGCAGGCGATGATCATGTCCAGCGGCTGCAGTGCGGTTACCTCGCTTCGCATCGTCGGGCATCAGCAGCAGCAGCGCGCCAAAGGCCTGCCAAAGCGGGCCAAACATTGCCCTCTCTGCTGCCTCTCACCGTCTGGAATGGAATGCCTTTTTTGAAATTTCGCCAATTCGCCGCGGACGGGCGATTTTCCTGGGGGATTTTCTGCGCATTCCTCCGGTCCCTCCGTTCTCCTTTCCACGCCCGCATTAGTCGCTGCTCCCCCGCATCGCCACCGTCAGCCATCGAGCGAATACAGAAATTGCGCTGCAGCACGGCATTAACGTACCTGCCAGTAGCTGACGAGTCTTGACGATTTTGTGGAAGCGTTGGCAGAGACGGACGACGAGTACGATAGGGCGAATCGGAGGCGGGGCTCGAAATCGCATCGGCCTGACCCTCGCAGCAGCCACGCAGCAGCCACGCAGCAGCCCTGTCGTTTTCATACAGCGACGCGGATGGCAGCAGGCGAGCCCCTGCTTGCAGCCCTGCTTGCAGCGCATGGGAACATTTCCACCCGCCCATCGCTTCGCCCGCGCGCTTTCACACCACCAAAATAGATCGCGATCCAGACCCGTGTTCCTAGCCCAAGCGAGCCTATCCCCACCTCCGCTGCCTCCTCTGTCATAAACTCACACTCACGACAATCACCGATCTCGAGATTGAGCTTGTTGGGCAGAATCACGTGTCACTGTCCAATGGCAAAAAGCAACCGGTAGCGAGCTTCTCCACCTCAGCACAGCCAACTCATCTGAAGAGTCGAAAAGCAAAAAAGAATGAGAGTGGAAGGTGGGAATCGAACCCACGACCT